TTCCAGGGTGGCACGCCTCCGGGTCCTTGTCACCGTTTACGTCTGGATTCTGACTCCCAATCACGTAGTAGCGATGCACGCGATATTACAGGAGTAGCGTGTGCGTTCTGATACATACCTATGTACTTACATGCGATGAGACTGGACTCGTGTGCTGGCACGCGCGGTTGTTAGGTGTGTGTGTGTCGCGCGGGGAGAGGCGCGCGCGCACGTAATACGCACTGATACGGTTCCACGGCAGTGGGGAAGGCGACGATCCGGAGGCACGACCGACCGACCAGTTGCTCCTCTGCGACCGAGTAAATTTTACGTTATTTCACCCACGTGCTCGCATGTGTGCGTGTTCTGTCACGTACGTCTCTCTGTGGAGAAACATTGCAGTCATTGACCGGTAACTGGACCGAGTATATAGGAAGAATAGAGGAAGATCAGAGCTTGAAGCGATCGCGGAGTCAGCAGTCGTACGTAGAAAGTGTAGGGTGAGCTTGTGTTTTTCATTTCCGTAGACACGGGGGTTCCCGCGTCTCTACGCGCTCTTCGATGCCGATCAATGGAAAATTATCTCATCCGATTGCGTCGTCGTCGGTCCGTTGTCGATCCCGCAAATCGGATAGTTTGACAAACATTCCGGGAAACCGAGCCGGGATGTGTCGGTGTCGTTATCGCGGCGACTGCTGGATCGGAACGTAGAGCCGCGCGGTTCGGCTGTTTACATTGTTGACTTGACCACGTGGGTCCTTGAAATGTTAAGCAGTAAGTGTTGTTATCGGTTGATCCGCGTGCGCACTGTCCCTGCGAATGAGGGAACGATTGTAATATGCAAAGTTTCCTCGACTTTTTGACACAGAAATTATCATAGCCGCCTTCTCCTCTTGCTTTTCCATATTCATATACGTCTTAGACTTTCCTACTTGCGATTGCATTAATTTTTCGCCTTTGTGACTCGTTAGGCGGCTAACCGCTGAATGAAAACACTGGCCAGACTTAATGACCAATTTAACGGGAACTTTTATCGTTTTCCTGCGATTTTGTAACTTGCAATTGTAAACGTAACCGTTGGACGAGTTACGATTATCGTGTAATCGTTCCATACTCCACTTGCGTCATCGGTCATTTCTTCGGGGGTAAAAATCGGTCGGTTATCTCCGACAGTCATGCTGCGTGGAGACCGTCTCGATCTACTTACCGCGTATCAAACTTCGGGGGATCGGCTTGGAAAGACGCGGTTGACAGCTGTCTTTCAGGAAACACGTGCTTCTGAACGTGTTCGGATCCAGTGATCTCATCCGTAATTATTGCTCGCGGTTAGAACCGCTGTTGAGCGATCCGTGTCGGGAGAATTGTTGTCGCTGAACCAACAACGAAATTCTGAACGAATCGATCCCTCTGTTGCGCCTTATCGCGGTACGCTGTTTAAGAACGATCATTAATCAACGACATCCAAATTGTCGAAAATGCCCGATAATGGATACCCGCGATCAATTTTAGGATCGATCCAGGTGGAAAATTCATGGGACCACCAGGCTCGGGGGAATTCTATTCGATTAAGGTTTATTCGAGACCTTGGTGATAATGGTCTCGTAATTCACGGAAGCTCCATAATTCATGCGTTAAAGATCATACATAACCGGCGCGCGCTTCTGACGAAGGGGTAATACATTATCGTGCGTGAAAAGCGCATTCGGTGAAATATCGCACGCGAATCCAATTTTCTTGAAGATCGAACCGGACCACTAGTTTATCCTTGGTAATTGTTCGTATGTAGTTCGTAGCTGCTTTCGCTTGCACCACGTTTCTTAATTCTGCAGCTTGATACCGTGAGGAATCTGAACAGTGAGATAATCGATCGTGATAGATAAAACAGGCGACTGAAAGGACCCCGATGAAAAAGGACGATGCTAAGTCATTTCGGAAGTAGAAGGCGTCTTTCGAAACACGTCAACCGTTGGCGACATGTGCTAGTATTGTACTGCGGATTAGAATCATCATATCGGGTCAAGTGGCTGAATTATCCTGGTTGACGTTTTGCACCTTCCAATTGATTTTAATAGTCTCTGATGACTCGAAAGAATGTTCTAGCGACATTTCGCGGTGCCTCTATCGCGATGCTCGACCATGAAAACTCTCTAACGGCCACGAATTCGATCGATTGCCAATTAATATAACCCGCTATTTCCATTCGGTTCGGGGACCATGATTCGAGGACAATTGAATCTTTATGCGTGCGAGTGCCCGGTGATCGTGTGCAATTTCAGACGAGTCCGCGGCAAATTGTCCCGAACGAGAGCAGTCGCAGACGCGCAAGCTTGCCGAGCCACTTTCCGTCGATCATGTGCAAGGTTCTCTTCGATAATTACACGCATTCTTAACACATTGTTGACCGGTTACAAGTTAACTCGTCAAGTGTTTGCACTCGCATTAGCTATTTCAATGTTTGAAAGGCAGGACAATATAAAATATTGTAAAAGCAACATGTTCAAAGTTACATAATAGATATGTCCAAAGATTCATTTCAATTCATTATGTATATATTGAAGTTTATTTACATTGTTTCACTTTCATATTTAATTATGAAATAATAACCGGTGACATGGGATAGCTTCTGCGTAAAATTGCCGGTTAACAATGTGCTAAAATTCGCGCCACACATTATTCCTCATGAGTGGCTGGAGAATTGTTCATTTCAAATGATTACAATTTAAACACTTAATGAGACCCAGTCCTATTGAAAAGTAAAACCGGCGGGAGGTATGCGGGAGCCGCGTCCCGTTGCGCGGGCGAACCCTTCTCCTCGAACCAGTTTGTCAACTTTTCTGAACCTGGCGGTCAGCTGCTGCGAGGCCGGATTTTTGTAATCGCCAAGTGCATTTGACTTGCAAAACTGAATTTTCTTCGTTGACTTTTTTCCTCGTAGACGTGTCTAGCAATTTTTGTAGCGAGCGGCGATCGCAATCTCGTTTCCTTTTAATCAAGATGATTCACCGTCTAATCACGCGGATTGATACCGGCCGTTATTGATGTTATCCAAAAGTTCTTACTTTGCCTAATTGCCGGTGAACTTGTGCGCAAAATCGACATTTTACGGCGATTACAGATGCGCTTGCGTATTTTCGTTTCCTGCATGCGGGTGTTTAGCGTGCACGGGGAACCCGCCGTCCAAAAAACGCTGTCGAGGATGATGCCCGTCCGATCGGGATGCGGATCAGGTGATTTGCATGCTCTCGATTCGGAGGAGTGACTGGTGCGCGATGAACGCGAAAGCTTTCGCACTCATGGATTTTTCTTGAGTTCCGGCGTGCAGTGCTGCCGCCATCGTTGTAGTGTTCTGCAAGATTTCGTGGTTTTAATCGGACTCGGCGTAGAGCGATGTATCGACGGAACGTTAATTAAAGGATACGTGAGAGTATAGCGAGTTACAAGTTAGGTATGAATAACTTGGTTCTTTTACATTGAAAACAGTTTGCGTCTGTGGCCCGAACGTTGAACCAGTTTGTTGATATTCTCGGAGACCAACGAACTTTTTTATTAAATTATCGAAGAAGTTACGTTATCGGGCCAACTAACAAGAGTAGATACTCGATTAATATTGTTTATTTAGAAATATGTAGCGCAGCTTTCGTTATCTTACATACGAAACGTTTATGTTTACTTATCAGTTTATTATGCAATGGTACTTACATATGTATTACAGTAGTTACTCCAGTGCACGTTGCGTTAACAGACATTTATTATGCGAGCGAATCAAACCGGTAGTATGTTCCAACATTTATCGATGTAGAATCTACAAGACAAAGCACTGACGAATACGAAAGCAACAAGATTAGAAGAGACGTGAATGAAAATCGCGAAAAGAAGAATGTACCTGTCTAACGATACCATTTACCGCGTACATAAATGAAATTTTTAGTTTCTTCCCAAGTCTAAGTTATTCGATGTTCTCGGTTTATCTGAATAGTCACCGTCCCGGTCAAGCCGATTAATCGAAGTTCCACGCCGCGATAGTCGGTGACCTATAGGGCATCAAGTACATGCCTCCAATTACGCCTGTCAATCATCCGTAGGTTTTCGTAAATCCTGAGGATAATCTGGAGCATCGATGTTCGCTTTCTCGTGGTCGATAGAGTTCGCGCGATACGCGTGTATTGGGACTTGTTTGTAATATTTTTCCTCCATCGCCTGTCTAATCGGAAGACCGAAGACCGTTCCACCGCGATGAAAAATCAGGGTCATGAGCTGCGACATTCTTCGAGACGGGGATATCGGCGTCGCGTATGACCGCGCGCGGTCTCGGTCGAAGTAGTACCGCGACGCGTTATTAGTCAAGCTGTACGTAGATGACTGAGCTGCTATAGCGGTGTCACACGTAATCGGCCGACAATTATGCACTCGATTTATATATACGAGAAATGCGCAAATAGCGGGGCTCGACGTGCCCTCCGCGATGCTATAACTCACTAGCAACGATTGCGCCGCGTTATCTCGTGTTATAAAATTCCATGGACTTTCGACTTTTCATTTAATAGTTTGCCGCTAATTATCGCGTCTCGCCGAATGTCGGATGAGAAAGAGGGAGGAAGGACGTAAGGGCGGGAGGAAGAGGGAGACAGGGAGAAAGAGAGCGGATAGAGGGAAAAATAAATAACTCGGAAATATTAAGCGTTCCGATCTCTTTAACTCGACTTCAGTACGCTTCGACGCGCCTGCCGCGGAACTCACCTCCCGCCTTTATCGCGAACGCTGTCACGATTCATACACGCTGGTCATTCGAAAAAACTCAATCGGAAGATAATACTTCATATACAAGGTGAGCACGTGCTCCGCGTGAATCAATGGAGTCATCAACAAACGGCTATTTTAGCGGTACGCGACCCTTCGTCTGCCGATCGCCTGGACATTATGGTCTTGGCTTACGAATTCGAACATTAATAATCGAGTGTAAAGATTGTTCGTTGGTCTGTCGAATTGTTTAATTTGATTTGATGTTATAGACAATCGAGAGATCCACGTACTTAGATATGCTCGTCCCGGCAGATCACGCTCTCCATGACGCGATACAGGTATCGCCGCTCGTGCTCTTGGACGACGTTAGGCGGCAAAAGGTAAGCGCACTGATTTATTTGCAAATTATGTAAAACACCATAGTACTAACGAATGCAGGTTTTGTGTTGGCATCAAGAAATGGATTGTCGAAAGTAACTAAGTTTGTGTTCTCCTCGCGTTACATAACAGTGTACTTACATCGAAGCCTATAAGAAGTATTTAGAG